GAGAGAGACAAAGAATGAACTGGACCAAGTCAGAGATAATAGCCAAGAGACTTGAAGCCTTTTTAAATCAGGTCTAACGTTGTGTTAAGGATGACCGATTACATCCTGAAAGAAAAGGATCTGATAGCTATAAATTCAATAGAGACGAAGGATGAACTGGACCAAGTCGGAGCTGATAGCCGAGAGACTCGAGGCATCTAGACCAGGTCTAACGTTGTGGTAAAAACGAGGGATTAGAACCCAAAAGAAAAGGCAAAGGGAGTAGTGAAAAACGAGACGGAAAGAAGGATCAGATGACTGCGAATGCGAGGTAGACGAAGAAAGAGTTTTGGCGAGATACATTGGGGAAAGGGGTGAGAGAGAGACGGAGAGCTGAGAAACCCATTTCGCATACTGGGGAGAGCTAGTCAGAGGCTAACTATAAGAGGAGCTAACTATAAACCTGACTCCCTACCCCCGGCTGCTATTTCCAGCCTTGCGCTTGTCGCATTGCCAAATCCCCCTTGGTCTGTTCGCCCTTCCTCTCTCTCTCGTCACCCTTCCACCGCTCCATGACCCCGTGAACGTTCAGCTCTTCGACGTGCCATCGTTTGGACAACGCGATGGTGGATTATGCGATGATGTCTCTTCCACCGCGCGACGCGAGTAGCTTTTTTGGGTGGCGATGATCAGGCTAACCTACATAGGTATGTACTATGTGTGGCTGAAAAGAAGTCATCTAAGAAACTTGTTGGACCGAATCCCCACCAACCCAACCTTTCTAACGTCATGGCAGAAGTAGAGTAAAGCGCTTCCCTTATTGGCAGAACTGATCCCTTCCTATTAGCCCGGTTATAGAACACCATGTGACAAAGAAAGCGAACGAAGCAACGAGACAAAGTGAGACAGACGCAACAAATAGACGTAAGAGTGTAGATTATCCCAAAAGCATATTAACTTCAGATTCTTCTGATGAACACGTGATTATCTGCAATTACTAATTACTAATTAGCATCTTGATTAACTTTTCATTACATTATGCAGCAAACATGTTGTACTATACACATATTTTTTATGTGTATGTACATGTGTATTTATGTTGTATCGTATGATTTTTTTAAACGGTTATCTAGTATGATGCAATTACATAATTAATTTATCATAAAAAATATATCTTAAATTTTAAATCAATTTTCATAAATGATGTTAATTATTATTACTTTTGTACTCCTTTACCTTATAAATCTTCGGAGCTATTGTCATCTGATTCCTTATCCGACTCACTGCTTTGTATTTCCAATCCTAGGTCTTCAATTGCATCTTCTGTTATTCGAGTATAAGAATTTTACGAATATCTTTCCTTTGTTAACGTATCGCGTTACCAAACTTGGTGGTAGTAGTTTTGGTAGTATCATAGAAGAGTGGGTATTATTAGTGGAATACCCCTCTTGCCCCGCTCCTGCACGAGATGACTTCTTTTCAGCCACGCATAGTAGTACCGAAGGTATACAGGGTTATTCTTCACTTGCGTCTAGAGGATCGAATTACGAGTAAGACGGAATTTTCTTTTGGTAAAAATTTGTTTCTGTCATCAATTATCAGTTAGGAAATAATTTCCTGAAATTTTTAGGTAATATTTATTTTTAGGTCATTTTTGGTAATATTTAGTTACTCTAAATACATATGTTGTACGTGAGTGATAAGAATTCTTGGTTTCATTCTACGTTCTTCCTTTCATTTTCATTCAATTTGCTTTTCTTTTGTATGTGAAATTTTATGTAAATGGACTACGGTCCGTTTATGAATAAAATAAATAATAAATAAGTAATAAATAATGTAACAGTGTGATGGAGATGTGTAGGATGCGTGATACTTGACGTTTCCGTCTTTTAATTTTGCCTGAAAGAGCTATATGTTTTTAATAATTTCAATCATTTTCGAGTCTATTTTCTAATTTCGAGTATTTTATTATTATTCTTTAATTTAGAATTAAATTTGAAGCTAAATATGGTACATACCATTGACAATAATTGAAATTATTGACGAATATAGGGTATCCAGGTGTCTTATAATTGACAGTGCGATCGGGAATATGATTCTACATTAAAAAATAAGTAAAAAATGTAGAATAATATTTTTTCACACGAGGCTCTGTTTTCGAGAAAATTGGCTTTAAATATTCGTGGGGTAGGCGCGCGGCTAATTATATCTTAACTTACGATTTCGCTATAGACCAATATCTCTACTCCTTTTCGCGTTCCTTATGTATTCCTAACGACATGAATTTTGTATTTTCCATTAGCTCTACTACCCTATTCTCTTCATTATGTCCAATCAATATCCACCAATCTGCAGGCAACCCAACGAATATTTAAACTCAATTTTCTCGAGAACGGAGCTTCGTACGAGAAAACTTTATTACACGTTTTCGACTTATCTTTTCACCTACTTTTAGACCTGACACTTTTCAAATTCTCCTACCTTCGCAAATCACCCTATACAACAACACTCCTCCAAACAAAGACCAACATTAATTGCGGAAAAATTTACAGGGATTAACACTTTGACTGCCACATTGGTCATATATGACTGACCACGGTTTTCCTGTGACACCACGGTGGTCATTGGTGACCAGATCACTTGAACTACATTGAACTACATTGAATGAAAATTGACAGTGCAATTTGAATATAACCGTTAATTGGAAGATACTTTGAAATAAAAAGTGCCCCAATGAACGATTAAAAATTTTTATTCGAACATCAAAAACATATTAGAACAAATTTTGCATTTAGCGGTGCACTCATGTGGCGTCCTGGGGGAACATGTGATTTCGGCGTGGTCAAAGGGTTAACACTAGAATAGTGTATATCGTCACTAGGTCTATCTTAGTTGGCGACGGTTAGTGACGGACGGTTCTTTGAGGAAGGTTGTGTCTAGCTTCGAAGTATTAAGTGGACTGTATTTTAGGAGAACTCTCTTCGTGACTGTTCTGTCGGTGATTTTATAAGCTTCTTCTGTCTACTGATTGGTTGCGAATAATATTGGGGGTGTGTGCTAGCTCCAGCGTCTTACGGTGGTGGTGGTTGTTTAAATCTGGATTAATCTGGATCCTTATGCCTATCGTCTTAAGGGTGATATATTGTTGCCTCTTACGGTTTACCCAAGTGGTGGTTTACGTGACAATGAGTGTATAGAAGTCAGGGGACGCTGACAATAAGGACATAAAACAGTCCTCCACTTGACCTGAGTCATTGCGGTCCTAGGGCCGCAATACTGGTACTTGTAAAATTTCAGAGCCTTCACATTTAGATACACAGTCTGTCCTAAACAAAAGGATGAATGGAATACCGGAAACGACATTTCAAGGATTAACACACAGATTATAGTAATGTCAGCGGTACGATGAATATAAGTGAATATATTGATTACAGTTCTTTTTTAATATCAGTTGATACCAATTTTATTCTTAAAGCAGGTGTATGTGTTCGGTGATTGCAAAAAGGAAAATTCTGGGATTAGTCATTTTGACCGGGTTGGTAGTTCTAGTGTTAATAATATCTGAACCCAGTCGTTTCGACAGCTCGGGTATTTCTAGCATCTCAGAGTGCGTTCTCAGGAATGTGACACGTCTCGTTGAAATCAGGTAGCCTAGGTCTCGTTGAGGCTCGGCATCAGCGACGCGAGATTCGGCAGGTTTACGTTTCTAATAGTGGGATCGCGTGTTCCTGTGCATTGCATCATCGGGAATATAAACATGTCGAATTGCACATAATCACTGGAGCGAAATTATAACGACGTCGAGTCGTTTGCCCCGGGCCTAACAGTTAATACGGTATGGAGTATTAAAGGGAACGGCGTTGCTGGTGTACTGCGCGGATATTACAAGTCTTGGACGGAGATTTTCGATCGTTTGAAAGCTCTAAAGCTGACAAAAAGATTTATTTATCGGACCATCAACAGGTACAGCGAACTGTCCTCTGTAAATGATAGACCGTAAACCTCATCGCAATATCGAGACATTGAAGGTGGTTTTGGCAGAGGCGGCTACGTTATTGCCAATAGGATACTTATGCGTTACACACGTGCGGCGATAGACGAATGGTCAGGTCGTTTCGCGAAATACGTGCGAGCCGAAGTTGGTTACTTCGGGCAATTTCCAGGATTTTTCAGTCGTAATGCGTATCGGGAATAGGGGATATCGAAATTTTAGTCTTTGTTCGAATTTATCTGCTGCGTAAAGTTAATTTTATTAGGAACGGCATTTACGACACGTTCCGCGTGGCGTGGTCTGAGTGAAGGTGAGAAGGTGTTGGTTCGTGAAGTGGATTGCAAACGAAGTGTCGATTAAGAGTATGTTTGATTAATTATACTTCTCTTCTGGCTTGTAGATTTAAATTTAGTTCGTGTTACAGATGATTTTTCTGAAAATTTTAGTAATGTGTCAATATTTAATCGACATATGAAGTTGGAATAATAAAAATAATATTTATGGTAATTTTAGGGATTTTTTTAGAAGTTATTTTGTGTTGAAAACTAAGTTTGAAATTCTTTTTTATTAAAAATCAATTTCTACTGGAAAATAAGTATTAAAGGTTCTATTAGCAGTCAGTTTGTGTTGAAATATAGTAAAACTTCCAATAGATTGGTGGTTTAGAAATTTTGTATAGTATGGATATTTTGGAATTGATTTGAAAATGTACATTATTAATTATTAAATAATAAGGTACAATTTAATTTTTAAATGTGAAGTCATTATAGTACATATTTATTATTTTATTCTTTTCACTTATTATTATTTTATTATTTTATTATTTTACTCATTATTTCAAACATTCTTTTGAAGCATTCCACGTTTTTTATTATATTTTATTAGAATTTTTAATGCAAATTTGTTCTTAGTACCTTAAAATAACAATTTGAATTTTCCGAATACTTTATTCTTAGTATTAAAATTAATTTATGAATATATGCACATATTGACAACTCGATTTTTCATATTTGTTTCAGATATACTGCTAATACAACCACATCGAAGCTTCAACTAATGATGCTGTAAACCCTGCACTGCCAGTTTTTATTGAAGGAAATCATAAAATTGTAAGTGTCTCATAATATTTTTCTAAAATAATGTTATACACATACTTAGAATCTAAGCTTTTCAGTTAAATTTTCTCATTAAGAGAAAAATAAAAATCATCTAAAATTTTAATTTCATAGAATCACTATACAAATAAAAATTCGCAAGTCAACGCGATAATTATCGTTCAAATATTTCATAAATCTTAATTTTCACGTAATTTCGTTCACAACATTCCCTCTAATTACACTTTTGGGTCACATTTAGGACAGTATAGACTACATTTTTATTACACTTAGTTATCACATTTTTATTACACAGGGATATCAAAATTTTATGACCCTACACGTATCTTTTTATCAGCCAGAATAGACTTTTAACGTCGATAATTTCAACGAAATTTACATATATGCCTATTTATTAATCAGGAATTCTCCCGGAATTTACATTCGTGCTATTCGATTATCGAATTGACAATTTCCTGATACGCAAACATCTGCAGGGAACATCGCTTTGATGGTTCGTGCCATCCGCAGTAACGATCAGTTTAAGCAAATACTTTACGAGATACTCGTCACATCGTTATCAGGGGACCAAAGAAAGCGACAATCGTTAAGATCAATCCACCGTCTGACGTCAGCCTTTTTTCATCGCGAACGCATTTTATTAACATGCCCACACTCGATCTGCTGCGAGGATAGCGGCAATAACGGTCGTTTGCGTTGCGGTTTACAGAGAAATCGATTTCCCTTTTTTCTTTTGTCATGACCGCAATTGGAACGATCGTAAACTAGGCAATACCACTTGCCATGTCCGCGTAAGAGGCCCTTGCAGGCTCGTTGCAACACGCGGCTGGTGCAGTAAAAGAGCCAATTGGTTAGGGGGAAAATTTGGCACCCTTTTTGTTTCATTTCAACGTGTGATGGGTAAAGTTTATAGGGGAGAATATTGAAGGAAACTTTTGAAGGAGTTGGTGTACTGTTTAGCTGTAGATTTCGTCGATATGGGGGAGACTGGTTAGGTCTAGACCTGTTCTAGACGTATTACAGGTTTGATGTGACGAGGTGATTGGGTCTAGATTTGCTGTAAATGTATGTAATTGAAAGTACATTTAAGGTACAGGTTAGTTTCTGAGGAATGTTTGAGAAAAATAAATGAACTTTGATGGATTAGTGGTCTAGGTCTATCGTAGACATATTTGTGATTCTAATTATAGATGGAAGGATAATTGAAAGGAACATACATATAAGGTTTGGTGAGGTCCTATGCCTAGGTCTACAATAAACGTCTCTGTGATTATAGTAATAGATATAAGGCTAATTTTCAATAAAATACATGTAAAGTTTGGTGAGGTAATAGGTCTAGTCCTAGTATAGACTTCGGTGTAATTATTGTCACAGGTATATGGTTCATTTTGAAATAAAAACTCGTGAAATGTGACGGGACAATAATCCCAGTATCAGCCAAACTATTTGGCTGATAGTCGTACATATAGGGTTTATTTTGAGAAAAGAAATAAACGTCGATTTTGGGTGTTCATAGACCTAGGTCTACTATGAATGTCACTATGATTATAGTAATGGATGTAAAACTAATTTAAGAAACAAAATACATGTAAAGATTGGTAAGATAATAGGTCTAGGTCTAGCATAGACTCCACTATAATTATTGTCACAGGTATATGGCTCATTTTGAACCAAACACACGTGAAATATGACGAAATGATAGTCCCAGTATCATAAACCAAACTGTCATTATAGTCACAGATGTAGAATTTATTTTATACAAAATATAGGCTTGGAACTATCATAGACTGCCATAGTAAAGGATTAATTCTGAAAAGAATGCACGCAACTGCATGATCAATTACATTTGACTACCAAGACGATTCTTTTAATGACATGACAGTAGCTAGCACAGAAGTTTGATAACATGATATATCATTTTGCAAATCCATCTCTGCTATGCCAACTGTGTCCGAATGAAAGATAGTTCCACAACATGCGCCAGAAACTTTCACGCACAATCAATCTAACCGCCACTTGCAAATTAACCCGCAATTAAGACATTCGTATGTATAATTTAATTCGCTAAGAAATTGCAAAGAAACGAGAACAAAACGGTCTCTTATCCCAAGTTGGCATCGCATCGCGAACTTTCTTCCACTCGCGTGTTTCACACTTCCTTTTATCAAAATTGCAGAAATCCGAACTATTCTATCTCGTTATCCTCGTTCGCTACCACGCCACGCTCTCCTGGTGAAAGTAAAAATACACACACGGGGATATATCGACATCTGTCGTGTGTCTCGTATAATCTGGAAATGCCTTAAATATTCATCGGCTTTCAAGCGTGTAGTTCGGTGTCGTCGTAAAGCGCTAATTTATTCAGTGACCGAGCAGTTATGTCCACATACGCGGAAAACGTGAACCGGAAAACGTATAAACTGACGTTCAACTTTCACGCGAAGGATCCTCGGGATCATAGTTTGACGTCGCGGCCGAGCTGAATTATGTATAATCTCGGGAATAGCTCGGATCGTTTATCGATCCTGCGAGATTTCGTCTACAGTTTAATCGGAGGTTAGTCACATATGCAGGTAACTTTCCATATTTTATGGGATACCAGAGAAAAAGACAATAGGTCAGAATGGAACAAAATTTCGTAAAAATAAGCCTTGAAATGTCAGCTGTCAAAATGTTTTACATGGTGGTTTAGTATGAAATTGGCTGATTAAAAATACGATTAATTCCTTTATTGGTGAAGGATGAAATTATTTTTGGAATAATCGATAGATTAATTATTAACAAGTATATCGTGGGTATATGAAAGGTTTTGATAGACCTTGAAAAGAGTCTAAATTAAGTATGGTACTATAAATATTGAAATTCTGTATTTTTATCCTTGGGAATTATCAGATCTTTTATTTTATTATTGAAGATGGCTAGATTATTTTAAATATAGTTTTTCGTGTAATCGAAAAGTTAGTTGGCGAGAAAGAATGTAATACATTACAGATATATAGAGTATTGATATAGATATATATTTTCGAAAAGATCCTACTGTCGCAATTAAGTATGATACTAAACATTTTTAAATCTCTCATTTGGAAGTCAAGAATATTCTGGGAAATTTACACTTCGTTTTCTTAATTGTACATCTATTATATATTAATTTTAAATTAATAATATAAGATATATAATGTTATATATTAACAAAATGTAGTATAAGTATAGACAGACTTTTAATAGACCTTGGAATTAGTGACATTATTTCGGGATATACTGATTATTTATTAGTCTAGGATTTAATTGGAAAAGTGCTTTTAACAGAGCTTTAGATGACCGAGTTCTTCAATCCAAATAAAATATATCTAATATTATCGTACAGATATCTAGATTTTTGTCATGTGACGCCAAAATCTCGTTTTCTATTTAGTTGAAAAATCACATAACGAAAATAAAATGTGCTAAAGATACACAAGCACTTTTGGCAGGACTCAGAAGACCAAAAGCTCTTCAGTAAGCTCTTCAAACTCAAAAGTAGTTGTATCACATCCATATCCAAATCATCCATTTTGACACTTAACCAGTTGTTTACAAAATCCATCAAATTTAAAATTCATTTCCATTTTAATTACTATTTAATTAATAATAACTTCAATTTCATTGATATTAAAAATAAACCGTATTACTGTCACAAAAATTTTTGAATGCATTTTAAAAAAGCAAAATTAATTCTAATCCAAATTAAATGAATTTAAATATTATTTAGAATAGAAATTTCGTAGGGTCTCCAATTTAATTTTAAAAATGTTTTAGTTATTTATCGTACGGAAGCTAAATCTCGTCTTTGATTTAATTAAAAGGCCACCTGACAAGAATGAATGTCAGTTCCTGAATAAACGGAGATAAATATCGGAAACGGGTGACAGGGTGCAGCGTGTTCCGTTCTAATATTCGATTCGTTAATAGTAGCGTGGCATTTGTGATTGCAAATCAGATGAACGCGAGTGTCGCGACGCGACAAGATATTACGTCTGCTGGTGTCTGCATTAGCTTGCAAATTAACGTGAGACGACTTATTATTAGTTGTTACTTGTTAATTATTAGTTTTGAGTTGTGAATTCTGAGTTGTTAGTTTTGATTTCTGAGTCCTGCGTTCTGTGTTCTGTGTTCTGAGTTGTGAATTCTGAATTCTGAATTCTGAGTTCTGAGTTCTGAGTTCTGCATTCTGCATTCTGCATTCTGCATTCTGCATTCTGCATTCTGCATTCTATGTTCTGTGTTCTTAGTTCTCAATTCTAATTTTTGAGTTCTGACTTCTGAGATCTGAGTTCGCAACATCTAGAACAGAATTAGCACGTTGGTTATTATAGGATCGAGAACCTTAATTATCGTAGGTCGTAAACGTCGGGGAACTATATTGGCAAATTTTCAGACAAATTTTCAGACGAATTTCGCATCTACGCCACGTATACATATCATAATAATATAGAATATCTCAACAAGTAATTAAAAAATTCGCGATATTTAATTCAATAATTTGCAAAATTCGGAAAGCCTACAAATTTTTTAAATTTGAAATATACTGATTTTGTCAGGCAAATAAAATATTTCGTTTTAAATATCCATTACATTCTCATCGTCAGCACAATTTTAACGTAAATTTTTGTTGAATACAGTGAAGCAGAATATATACAATAATATAATAATATACAAAAATGTCTGACGCAGGTAATTTCAATTTTATCACTTTTCCCAATTTTATATTTCCTCTTTATCCGACTGAAAATTTCGAATTCACGAAATATCTTAATTTAACAGCCTTTGATTTGGAACTGTCATGCAGATGTTCTACGAATCGGTATGAAGATTAGAATTAATTACATTTTCTCAAAATTCAATTTGAATACTTGCAAGTAATATTATACTAATTATTATGATGGCTATAGTAATAGGACGCTATAATATAGCAAGTATGCACGTGAAAAGTTAGTAAATTCTAAGTCACGTTACGT